TGCGCCTGCTTCACGCCGAACGGTGTCGTTTATACGAGATTGGAGTCGAACGATTACGATTACGTGCATCGATACCCCGGCTTTGGCAGGGACAGAAGACCGACCGATGTGTACGCGGATGTAGCCAGATACTTTGCTAGACGAGGTAATTCACGATTTGAAATAGAATGTATTTCGATTGGCAAATTACCGTATCGCGAATATTATTATTATTATTATTAATATTGATTCAAATATCTATCCATTTCTTTAATATCTTCGCGATTTAATTTTTCTTGACACCTTTATTATCGCAATTCCATTGGAATCCGTTATTCTATTATTCTATTCTTTTTTTCTAAAACGATTTTGAGTATTTGTATATTTGAAAAATGCTCTCTACATTTTTTTCAAATCGAGATAAAACTATCGATTGGCCTCTTTCCCTAAGTCTAAGTCTAAAATCGTTTTCATAGGCTTAAGAAGGTTAACAGGAGGTTCTGGAGATGATAGTTTACGATTTTTCTCACAGGCAAACGAGACGTGTCGGGAGCAGGGAGCGAAGATTCCGGCCAAGATACAGACGAGAACGATGATGAATATAATGACGGTGAGCGGGATCGGCGAGCCATCGACGAGGAGGACGACGAGGATTTCTTCCAGGAATTGGACAGTCTTGCGGACGATGTGAGAAAGGAATACGTAAACTTGATCTTTAGGTACGAAAAGAAGTTTAGAAAGTCGTCGATGCTCGGAGATAGATAACTCGACGAGAGTTAGTTTTTTTTCTCTCTCTCTTCATGGTGATGGATGCCCTTTCAGGGATAGATTCGATAACCAGACGTCGGAGGATGAGAAACTCGAGTTCGATAATTTGAACGAATCGGAATACTCGATCGACGACTTCGATCCTAGCTTGGATAAAGTGGTGAAAGGCCGGTTGAACGTCGAAGACGTGGTGAGAAGACACAGGAGGATACGAAGGAGCGTCACGAAGAAGGACACCGTTGAACACGTGACCAAGATAATGGAGAGCATCGAAGAGGAATTGGACGATTTAAAGGTGATTCTAATTTTATTGAAAAAAATTTTGTTATTCGAGCACGGAATGAAGGAATAATTTCTATTCAGGCGACCCAAGAACGCCAGTCGGAACCAAGAAGAGCCTTTCCGCCGAAATGTTCTGTCCTTCCGCAAGGAGGGGTGAATTGTTCTGAAACCGTGTACCAGGATCCGAACGAATGGAGGAACTCGAGGCGAGAGATCGAACAGCAAATCAGAGAAATGAGGATGCAGTTGGAGACGTTAAAAGTAAATATCGAGGACGTTATATATATTAATAGAGAATAACTCTTCGTTCTTCGTCAGGATATTCGTCGTCACTTGATGACCAAGCGACCTCACGTTATGAAAGATCCGGAGGACGGATTCAAAAGCACGGAAGAGGCACATAAACCGCATCATCATCCTTCCAAAAACCACGTGAATCGGCATCACAAGAAACACGAGCACGCCAATACGATTAATCCTGGCGCAACGACCGTTCGTTCAACGACAGTGAAACGCGTTGATCAAGCGACGGAAGGAAGAGTTGCGTCCACGGACATCACGGAGAATAAATCTAGATTTAACGTTACAGCCACGGAAAGTAGCGATACCGATACGATCACCACTTCGAGCGAACCAACTTCCACCGTTTCGTTATCGTCGACTTTTAAGCCAAAGAAAGCGTCTCGTCGTCAGAAGACAAAAGAGCCTATAGTTGGTAATAGGACGGAAGCGGAGGACGACAAGGTGCAGAGACGAAGGAAGATCCACCATCATCGAAGGAACAATACTCTTTTCACGAATAGCGTGCACGACGAGGTGCCGATTGTAAATGTGAGCGAGACAATCGAGACGACTGTGACCGCGCAAAGCACTACGTCTAGGTATCATCATCAAACAACAAGGTACACGACAATTCCTACGACGACAATGAAGGAAACCACGATTCACAGGGAGAATACTATTACCGGTATAGGGGACGTCACGAATGACTTTACCAAAGAAAATACGGTGGGAACGAACCCGCAAACGATATTATCCACAGGTTCAGAGACGATCGACAGAGAAACGACAGAATCGCAAACGGCGACGCCATTGTTCACCAGGACGACCGATACCGAAGGACGTTCCAGAACTACGTTCCCATCGACAGTCGTGACCACGACCACTACGTCTGCGACCATACCGGTTACAATTTCTTCGAACAAGAGATTTCCAAAGGTTCAGAAGAACAGGACCAACAATCTTGGACCATCCAGAATCGACGTTACCATTTTGGAATCTCCGGATAGGAGGAGCAGACAAGGTCAGTGATCCATATACGTGAGATTTATTGATTTCTCTGTATCGACGTAAGATGATCGAACTTGTCTGTTCCATTATTATAGAAATAATAGATATAGCGAATAATAATCGCCGGTTACCACCAATGCTGAACAGTCCTTTGGAAGCACGTCACAAGTGTTACTGTGAGCCGGATTCTTACTCGAAAAAGGACGAGAAAGAGATCGCTCGGGAGGAAAGGAGAAGGTTGAAGGAGGAACGTTTGAAGAAAAAGGAGAGGAAGCTGAGGAAGAAAGCCAAACTGGAGAAGGAGTGTTTAACCGAAAAGATGAACTGTTTCGAGCACGATAACGATCATTGGCGCACAGCACCGTTGTGGAGTGCGGGCCCATTCTGTTTTTGCATGAATGCCAACAATAATACGTACTCGTGCATCCGCACCATTAACGCGACACACAATTTCCTTTACTGCGAGTTCACTACCGGTTTGGTCACTTATTATAACCTGAGGATCGGTGAGTGCTTATTCACTTATATACATCGTGGATCGGGTGGGGAAGATTCGAAAGGAAATTGGCTTCTCGGTATCGAAATTCCATTTCTTTTTATTCAGATCCGTTCGAACAATGGAACAGAGTTTCGTCTTTAACGTCTTTGGAACGTTCCTATCTTCACGATCAATTGGAACATTTAAAGGGGTGCAAAGGGACGAGGGATTGCACGGTTGGAAACGCGAAGGAAGCATTGCCGCAGCAACAGCATCAGAGATTCATCGCGAAAAGAAAATTCGCCAATACGTTCGGTACGTTCGATGTGTGAAACACGGAAATTGAAAACTTATCCTATTTATTTTGTTCTGTTCCCTTTTTTGTGCACAGAGGATATTTTCGTACCATCGACGTTACAAATTATTCGTGAGAGCGAGCTTAGCAGTCCGCCGAATAAGAGACGGAAAAAGTTGCAGAAGTAAGTAATCTCTTTTAATATTTTAATTGTAATTCTTAATTTGTGGATTCTAGTTATTTCAAAAATTTATTATCCTATTTCCTATTATTCTTCTTCTTTTTATCGAACTTCTTTTTAGCGTTTGGAACAGACGAAGCAGAAGCTGGCAAACTAATTTTAGGCATCATCAAGACACGATGAATTATCGTCGGCACAGACATCAGTACTGATTATCATTGATTCGTTTGTTTCTTTTTGAACAAATTGTCGAAGGATGCGTGAAAGCATTGCCTTAGATGTATATTAATTTCGCGATGCATTTAATAATGTAATTTATTTAGTGATATTTAATCGAGGAAGGATGCGTGATATTTAATTGAAAATGTTCGGATTCCATTAAAATTAGAATCGCGCTTTAAAACGATTGTATTTCGCGTTGCAGAAAGAAAGAAAGAATCGTCTAAAAATGAATGGGATAGCAAAAACATGTCGACTATCTAAACGAATGATCTAAATAGATAGATTGACTTATACCGTCTCGAAAAACTTTGTTCTGCAATGTTGGTACATTATGTATATTTCTAATGCTATATTTTTCACAAAATTAAATTGCGACTGATCGGACGTGTTTCGCTTATATTAAATGACGTACACGTGTGATTAACAATCGGAAACGATCTAAACGATCCTTTTTTTTTACTTAATAGCCGATATTTTTTATAATAATTTATTTACCACTATTACTATTATTACTACTACTCGTCTCTTTAGGTCTTTTTGTATACAAGAAAGCGAATAACTCGAATGAAACGATACTTGCCTAACGAGATTTAGAGTAATTTTAAAATCTTCGATTGTTCGGAATTAGCGACACGATACTTCTTTGAGAAGTGAATAATCGATATCAAGTAGGTTTATAAAGAAGAAAGAATTGTCTAAGGGGAGAGAGGGATCTGAGGGTTCGTCTATCGCGTCACAACGAGAAAAATTAAACTCGAGTTTGTGAGGATACGAACTGAAACGCACAACGAAAGAACGGAACACAATAGGAAAATCGTCCTGCCAAAAATTTGTTGTCTTTCTCTTGTGAAATTTTCTATATACCGATATACGTTTATAAAACGTTTGTTCTATCGAAGCTGCCATTCGTTTTATTTTTTTCCTATTGCCTTCATGCAATAACATTGCAAAATATGAATTGCGACTGCCACAAAGTATCTTACTAATCATTCTAGCCACATCATTACTAGGATGTTTGAATGGAGACAGGAAAAAAAAAAAAAAAGAAACAAAAATAATAATTCAAAATGTAATCAAAAAGTACACAATGTTAAGACTGTATGAGTTATAATTAAAAAAAAAAAATACTTTTAGCATTGTTTATTTTGTGCAATTTCCTGTCTTATTAGAAACAATATGAAAACTTTTGTGATTGCTACACCTAACCACAGTCTCTGTTATAATGAAAAAAAAATTGAATGCTGATGGATTGTATATGTTACTATAAATATATACAAAAAAAAAAAAAAAAAAGAAACAAAAATAAAAATTCAAAATGTAATAAAAAAGAACACAATGTTAAAACTGCATGATTTATATTTAAAAAAAAAAAAAAAAAAATGAAATTCATTATTTCATATATTTGCTTCAATAAAGTTAGAAATTTTTGACTATATTTGTTATTTTTTAATGAAAACTAATTATAATTATCATTGTATAGTATGATTAGATTTTCTCCATTAGCATTTTATTTTTTTTTATACAAGTATATGTCTGTGTTATGTACTAGATTCTCAGTTAGTGTCCTGAGAATATCTTCAAGATTTTGAAGTTAAAGCAATGTATTTAAATCATGTGAAATAAATAAATAAAAAAATACTGTCCAAATTCCAACTAATATTTTATTTTTTTTATATAAAAAAATAATGAACAATTTTTTTTAAAAATAAGAAATAATAAAAATAATTTTTTTAGATTTAGAAAGTAAAAAAAATATATATAGAATTTAGAAATCAATTGAAATGTCAAAATCTTCATTATCATCAAAAATATTTTCTTTACATTTAATTTCGGTTATATTTTTGCTATGGAAATCATTATTCTTACTACTATCTATTTCCTTTGATATAGAATTGTCATAATCTTCTTCATTATCATTAACAAAATTTTGTGTACAATCACTTTCATCAGAAAGATCTGATTTTATAGATTTACTTTGTGAGGATTTTATTATATTATCATTAAGATGAATTTTATCATCATTTTCATTGTACTTAATATTTTTGCTAGTTGAAGCTTTGAAAATATTAGATTCAATTTCTTCAGTTGAATCTAAATATTTTGCCCACTTATTCTCAGTAACTTTTAATTTTAGTTGCTCAGGATAAGTACTCGTGTAATTATCATTAATATTATTGCATTCATCAAAAGATTTTGCAATTTTCTCAACCTCATGTTCTTTCATAAGATTTAATTTTTGAACAAAAACACGACAATCTTTTCCTGAGCCTTTAAAATAAACCTAAAAATTATAATTACCTACTACTATTTTATCATTTTTTGTATAACTATATCATGACATATTTATAATATATATTATATTGGAGATTGAAGATTGAATTTTTTCGTTAGAAATAGAATTAACTAACCTGTTTAAATGTCTGCTTGAAGTTACATATTTTACACTGCCATTTTTTTGCTTTTTTTATTATATGGACCTATTATTAACAGAAATCAATTATGTTATTAGAGATAATAATACATTGTAACAGCATTTCGAAACTACGCATTTAACAATTACTTGATATGTTTTACATGAAGAACAGCGTAAAATATTCATTTCTTGCGGCATGATGTTAGAATGTATTGAAATATTAGTACGAAAAACACTTTTTAATATTAAAACTATTACTTTTTAAAGTAAAACAGCTTTGAAACACTATTTCAAACTTCGAATCACTTTGACACTGAACAAGACAGGCTAGCCAATATGGCGTCATCAAAAATTGGCGGGAAATAAAGTTATTTCTGATTTATTTATTTTTATATAAAATAACAAATAAAAAGAAATTTTTAGTATATGCACATTAAAAATTATGCAAAGACGGAAAAACCTAAATTAAAGTTTATAATATAAAAATTAAAAAAGTTTGAATTTGGATGTTCATTTATTAGTTCGTCCTAGTCGCCGTTAGATAATGGTTCGATGTGAATGTTACAATTTTTGAAAGTTGCTTATAACTACGAAAAAAGAAGAAATATTTGAATAAAATTAGTTTCAAATTAGTTCTCTGAAACTCAAGTTTTAATTTGAATAATTAAAAGTTAAAAAATTATCCCAGAAGGAACGTGAATGATTCGATTTTGTTAAATTTACTTCGTTTTAATGTGCGTATTTCAAATTTTTAGTTTCATTTAAATATTTTATTGCAAATGCGTTTTTATTGCAAAATTATAAGAAATTATAAGGAATTATAAGGAATTATAATTGATTATATCAAAGAAATCAGTTTTATTTTATTTTATTTATATTTTATTTCTTATCTTCACACACTTTATCATCATGCATATATATTTTTAAAACATTTGTAAAAAATAAATTAATTAATATTAAAATATAAATCTCTATTCAATATCGATTTTACAATTGGGTAAAGCTTCAGTAAGTTCTTTATAAATAATATCATTTGTGACAGCTGGTAATCCTTTAATTTTTAATTGTTTCAAATTTCTGAAATAAATTCAAAAAATTAATAATATCATATTCTTTTTTAACATATTTTTAATATTTTTATATATATTACATACTTCAATATTTTCAATTCACGTAGACCATTATCATCAATACTTTTACATCTTATAATTTCTAAATTAATTAATGAATCTTGAAGAAGTGATAAATGTGGTATAGCACTATTATTAATATATCTGCATTCTTCAAATTTTATATCTTTTATATATTTGCATCCCTCTAAATTATAATAATTAAATGAATAATTATAATTATATATATTTAATTTTTTCCATTTTATTAAATCAAAAATTATAATATTGACCAAAATGTTGAAATCCAACATCACATATACCAGCATTATTTGCTTCAATAGCTTCAATGTAATAATTTCCATGAGATGGTAATGCATTATAATCAGTTAATTGTTCAGAAAAATTTTTCCATCTAACAAATGCTCCATTTCTTAAAAGCCATTCTGCACAAGCACGGTCTGGACCAATTTCTTTTATACGGTCAGCATCAACTCTTAAAAAAATAGTTTCATACCATTTTTTCAAAAGCTATTTTAAAAGCTATCTTATACAAAAAATTAAATAGCATTGTTTTAATTTAAATTACCTATTGAATATAACAGTAATCCAATAAAAAAAAGATCTATTTTGACTTCTTATAGTTTGAAAAAAAACAGATGTTAATCTATTCAATGTCTGAAATTAAAATATATGTAGTAATGATTTTATTTAAAAATAAATGAACAAATTTTTTTATAGTCTTACATAAGTTGTCATTATTTTTTTGTATTATTAAAAATATAATTAAAATATTATTATCAAACACTTAGGTTATACGATATGAAAAATAAATCATACAATGAAATCATTATTGTTTACAAAGCATAAAATTGTTGTAACTATAATTGTAATGCTTTCGAAATAATATTTTACTAGTACTTCTAATAAAAGAATTTATGTGTAATATATCTAAACATTTGAGCAATAAGATATAAATATTTTAATAGATGGCGAAAAAATTTTTTCAAGATAGATAATAGAAAAATTTTTATTTGAATCGATAATTTCTTTGTTACATTATATACGAGAAATATTGAATCACAAACAATTGAATGGAATTTTTAATCGTAATTTTAAGCTATTAAATTCTTATCAGTCATATACAATAAACAAATTATTAAATATAGATGTCATACTACTATAGGTGACATACTGGATTTCTATAGTCGATACTATTCTATATTATCGTAGTCTCTGGATTTCATAATTGTATGTGCCGCCGGTTTGAAGAGTCAAAACAAACCTGTGTGATTACGCACAGCAGTGGTTACGTTTGATACGGAAATTATTAAATAGCAGCAATATGAGTCGAAGAAAAAGAGCGAAGGTATGTTTTTTTATTCTGTTTTATTAGAATTGGTATTATTTTTTTAAAAATATGTTCTTATAGTATGATATTGTGCGATATATATAATAAATAAATTTATTATTTTATATATTAACTATGATACATTTGTATTGTTTTCTTCCCCTAATATTTTTTTATATAATGGTACAGATTGATACAAATTTTAGTATAAGAGACAATTCGTATATGATTATCTTAAGTGATATTCTGTCGCAAATAAGTGGATTAGGTTATGTTTAGGTTAGAGTCATTATTTGTTATTTATTTTAGTTTATCATCAATCATAAGTTTATCTTTTTATAATTAAAATCGAATATGTTATGTAGACATATTAAAATAGATATATTTTACGCAACTTTTAAGTCATAAATGCTTATAGAAATTTTTAACCTATACGTTAAGACAGATTTCTATATGATATTTTCAAGATTTTCTTACAAAAAAATTTATAATTAAATATTGTTTCCTTGATTTTTTAATTGTTATATATTTATATATTAAATATAGGTAGAGTACAGAGAAATGGAAGAGAAATATAATCAATTAGAGGATGAAAATGCTTCAGATACATCGGAAAAATCTAAACCTGGTCTTGTAACGCCAGAAAAAAAAGTTGTTCCTGAAGTAAAAAAAGAATCTGATACAAGTATATCACAATCTGTTCCCACATCTTCAGCACCAAGAATTGAAGTAAAAGAAGAAGACGATCAAGATAGCGATCATGAAGATCCTCATGGTAAATATATTTTTTAATAAAGTGTTATGTTTTTTTTTTAATAATAATTTTTTTATAAAATTATAATTTATATTTCATTTTTAGTAAAAGAATTACTTAATGGTTTGGAAGGAGCAGCATTTCAAAGTCGTCTTCCATTCGATAAATTAACTTCTACAGAAGCTGCTTGTTTCCCAGATGTTTCTGGCGGTCCACCACAGACTCAGAAAGTTTTTCTTCACATTCGAAACAGACTTGTATGATATTTATCCTTATAAAAAATTAAATTTAATTTCCATCCAAACTTATTAATGTTTTTATTTCAGTTGCAATTATGGCTTGAAAATCCAAAACAACAATTGATAATTGAGAATGCTTTGCCAGCAATAGAACCACCTTATAATAGCGATACTGTATTGGCACGTCGAATTCACGCATTTTTAGAAAGACATGGTTTTATTAATTTCGGAGTATTTAAACGACTTAAAGTAATAATATATTCAATTTTTTAATAAAATTTGTACAAATATTATTTATAATATGCGAAATATTATTATAATCATTTATTTATTTTTTATTTTAGCCATTACCTACGAAGAAGTTAGGTAAAGTGATCGTAATTGGAGCAGGTATTGCTGGTTTAGCTGCAGCCCAACAAATGCAACAATTTGGTTTAGAAGTAATTGTACTCGAAGCACGGGTATTATCACTTAAAATTATAATTACAATATATTAAAACGATATATATTATTTTCTACATATGTTTCCAATTTTGATGTTTTATAGGATCGCGTTGGTGGACGAATTGCAACATTTCGTAAATCTTCATATATAGCCGATCTCGGGGCTATGGTAGTCACGGGTTTAGGTGGGAATCCCGTAACAACACTTAGTAAACAGATTAATATGGAACTTCACAAAATTCGACAAAAGTGTCCTTTATACGAAAGCGATGGGCAAACGGTTAATATAAATATATTTTTACATTGTAATAATTAAATGTTTAAAAAATTATTTATGCAGTTTTAATACTTTTCCGCAAGTAGGTCCCAAAAGATAAAGATGAAATGGTAGAGAGAGAGTTTAACCGGTTATTGGAAGCAACTTCATATCTTTCACATCAATTAGATTTTAATTACGTGGGTAGTGCTGGATCTGGACAAGGTGGTAATACACGACCGGTTTCATTGGGTCAGGCATTGGAATGGGTGATACGTCTACAAGAGCAAGGTGTCAAACAGCGTCAAGTAGCACATCTGCGTTCCGTACTATCGCTCCAAGGTCGACTCATTACCAATCAACATAGGGTGAGTATCTTAATTATTTTTATCTAAAAATTATTAGAAAATACTAATAGCTCTTATACCATAGATGATAGCAATCATGGATCGTTTGGTCGAGTTAAATAAGCAATATAAAGAAATGACCGAAAGTAAATTACAAACACGTGATATAACGCAAGAATTCGTATTGCGTTCAAAATTACGCGATCTTCATAATGCATGCAAGGTATAATTATCAATTACTTGCACCTATCTTTATTCATATATTCTATATCAAGTAGACGCTATTTAATTCTTTATATTAGGAATGGGATCAACTTTCCGAACAACAGAAAGAAATCGAGGCAAAGTTACAAGAATTGGAAGCCTCCCCTCCTAGGTAAGTTCCTTATACGATGCATCGTAGATTAAGATTTTTATCGGTATATAAATTTTTTGTTTATTGTTCATAGTGACGTATATCTTTCTTCGAAGGACCGTCAAATATTGGATTGGCACTTTGCAAATTTGGAGTTCGCCAACGCGACGTCGCTATCGAACCTAAGCCTGAAACATTGGGACCAAGACGACGACTTCGAATTTACCGGCAGTCATCTAACAGGTCAGTCTCTTTAATAACACTTGCAAGTAACGTTTTGCCTTGTTAGTCGTTGTTTACTTTCACCACGCGAGCAATTAGAATTTGTTGAACCGCTAAATTGACCATAATTATTATCAATTGTACACGTTACTCGTTAAGATACGTTAAACACGCGAAAACATTCTAATTTCGTACGTGATTCGTCGAGTACGGCGTAACGCGTACATACGGTATTATATCGACGTTCTCGAGAAATTGCTTAACCAGCCAGTAGATGGTATAGATAACAGGTGAATTATTCGCGGGTTGCATCTCCTTTACAGGCGTCGGATAGTCTCTCGCACTCGATGTCCGTGCGGTTGACTTTATCAACCTTATTGAAAGTCGATAGCACGAGATTCCATGTAGATAGTACGCTATATCCCTTAACCGATCGGTTACCAGAGTTCTCATTATGTGAAATTATACTATGATCATATAGCGTGTTCGCGGTTCTCGGGTCTACTAATGCGTTAACAAAAACGAAAGCGGCGAGAAATATGACTATAGATAATCAAGCGGTTTCGTATTTTACACTGTTCGAGGGATTCTCTCTGTTCCTAACTTGCAGCAAACTTGACTTAACGGTCTACCATACCATTTCCCTAATCATTATCTCAAGTATTTACATTAAACCAACCAAGGAACCTTTCCGGAAATAATTGGCTATCCCATATCCCGTTCGAATCGCTATCCATTGCAATTAAATCTGTTCGAAGCTTCTGACCGTAACCTCGTGACGTACCACATTCCGTGTTACCATTCCGCTCGTCTCATACTCGCGCAACGAGAGGAAGACAGGAAGACAGGTTCATCGTGGAGCCGTGGCGTTCTCGGAGCGCGGAATTATCTTAACGACATTACTTGTAATTCCTTCCTTGACACGATTCACACCCGGAAGCCTGTATGGTTTCAAGTACGAGAGACAGAGGCGTCGGTTTCAACCGGTTATCGTTGATCTTACACGAAATATTGTACCCGGTATGTAAACGAACGGTAAACGTTGCTTTAATAGATATCCCAAGTAGACGTTGGTGGATGTTGCGTATCGGTGAACCGTAACGCATCGGAATAACGTGGTCGCGTGTGTCGCTACCGCGAAGCACACTCGACTGACAGTGAACGAGCGAACCGGTCGAGTCAGGCTCGAATTCCAATATTGCTCCACTGTCGTCCGCGCACTGGCCGCGCAGTCGAGTGCATCGTGCGAGAGAGCGAACTCGAGCGAGTGAGCGTGGCCCCTTAACGCACAGAATGAAACAAGAGACGCGCGAGGAAGGAGGAGGACGAGGAGGAGGAGGAGGAGGAGGAAGAGGATGATGGTGCCTCTCGCCCCCGGTTCTTATTGGGGCCACGGTGGTGCGCGGCCATGGTGGTCAATTCGAAATTAAAGCGATGCCCACAGTCCATGACTGACGTGCATCGATGATCATGACGGTCTGCCCGCAGGTTCTTCCCGGCGATTAATGAGATGTAAACAATTTAACGGTAAATTAAGCACAACAATAGGCTCTCCCCGGTGAATCCCTCGGTCCAAAGTTGGGGCCCTGAACGGCGGATCCTCGATGTAATCGGTTCTTGGACGGAGCCTCGAACTTCTCGCGATCCTCCGGCTCCGGTTTACGGACCATCGCTTCCTTCTCCATTCTTTCACGAAACGAATCCCGGCTACAGGGTTAATAGCCACTGACCGAAAAACCGTTTAGGCCTAAGAGTATTCCTCGAGATACTTTTTCGCCTTTGAATGTCGCCGACCACGGTTCCGCTTCTATTTCTCCGGTAACGTTTCTCGGATCGGTGTCACGTCTCGTTAGCTCGTCGATTTATGCAAATATACCTTTCCCCCTCCCCCTTCCGTCCGAATATAAAGATACTCCACGAATTTTCGACCAATGCATGGACGGTTTCGTCTTCTGTTTTCTTTTTTTTTTTTTTCCTT